AATTCTTAACTAGTTTTTACATATATGGGTATATATCCTGTCTTAGAGCCCTTTTCATGCTATTGGCTTTTTACTGTGTTTCTAAAAACATGCTTTGTGAAGGACCTTCCCTATTTCTGCTCTATCTTAGGTATACGTAACTATTTTGAAGCACGGAGATAGTACTACTTTAGACACTATGCTAAAGGTGAGTGCACACAGTATCAATTTATGAAGTCAAAAGCCAATTATTCTATCCTGTAAGTTCCTCTAAGGTGTATTTTTTCCTGAAATCTACTCCTGTGTTTTACAGGTGATGTGAAAAGTAGGACCGTGTTTCGCTAGATCCCCGGTCCAYTTGCAATGTTAAATTGCCACCTAGTGGATTGTTGCAGAGTTTCATTGCTCAGAGGCTTGGTCCTCCTTGGCCTTACAGAAACAGTGCTTAGAAGATTAGTTTGCTCCTAGTGGTCCTTTCTGATGATGTGCATTTAATAAGGTGCCTTCTCTTAGTGAATAATCCTGCAGCTATTCACTTGTTCAGTTTGCCGTCCGTTTTGCCCAGAGACCAATGTAGCAGCACTAAAAACAGAGCAGATTTAGTAGTTGGAGGTAAGAGCAAGTCCCTGCATGGCACTGTGCATTAATGTTCTTCCCTCTGGCTTTGAAGCTTCACAAGCAGGCGGACATGCAGGAGGAGAAGAACCGGATCGAGCGCGTTCTCGGAGCCATCTCTCAACCAGAACTCATTCAAAAAGTTCTCACCTTTGCACTTTCAGTAAGTTAGTGGGAAAGCTGCCACTTAATTTGATGAGAATGACTGATGTGTGTAGAGCACATGGTGGTAGTGCTGTGTGCCTGTAGTGCTCCTGAATAGGATGGAGCATTTCAGCTGTTAAATCTTGGACTTAAATCTTAAACTACCATACGTCTTTGAAAGTTTTTGTGTTTTTTTTTTTTTTTTTTTAATAAAAAAAGAAGCCATCTTTGACAGAGTGAGTGTAGAAGTGCATAGAGCCAAYGTGATGTGTGTGTTGAAACAGTCTTGAGTGTTTACCTCTGGTTTTTGCTCTCAGGAAGAGGTACGTCCCCAGGACACGGTGTCTGTTATTGGCGGAGTGGCTGGAAGCAGCAAGCAGGGGAGAAAAGCTGCCTGGAAGTTTGTAAGGGATAACTGGGAGGAGCTTTATAATCGCTACCAAGGTGGATTCTTAATATCCAGATTAATAAAGGTAGGTGCAACTTGGAGAAAAATCTCCCTTGTATAGATGTCCAAAACTAAACCATGGCATTTCAAATGCTGACCTGTGGTTAAATTTCTCTTTTCCTTCAGCTAACAGTGGATGGATTTGCAAATGATAAGATGGCTGCAGAGGTTAAGGTAAGACATTTATCAGAGAAGTGATTTACTTTATCTGTGATAGACGTGGCATAGGTTCCTTGGGGAAAACAACTTTTTACTTTAAACAGTGTGATCGGATTCCAGGATCCCTTTTTATACCTATTGCCTCAAGATAAGAACAGATTTGGCAGCATTTCGTCACAGGGAAATCGTGCAAYACAATTGCCATGCATGTCCATGTCGCTCCCTGGCAGACGTTAAGAGGATCTGCTCAATACTGGGAACATCCTGCTCTTCTGGAGGTGGGGAGGACTCCCCGCTATGTCCCACACTCTGCCCTTTAGGCACGTGTGAAGTGAGGGGCTGCAGCCTTTGTGGCCGCTTCAGCTCCAGCTACTTGCATAGCCCATCAATACTGTCGATTTTGGGGAGAGCACTGAGTGCTGCTGCTCTTGGACGTCCTGCAGAGAGTGCTAGGAAATCCGATACCCAGACATTTGCTTTTGCAAATGGCCTTAGGATGCAGTTAGTGCCTTCTTGCAGCTGTCCAGAAATACGTGTTTGATTTGCTGCTCTTTTGCTGCCTTCCACTGCGGGACTGAATCCTGCTCATCTCTGCAAGTCCATGGCAGCCYGGGCAAGAGAGGGAGGAGGCTGCGTTGGGACTGGTTTGTAGCAGCGATGCTGCAGCTTTCCATGTGCAAACAGAGACTTGTTGCTGTTCCCACTGTTTCAGATCACACAGGGCCTGCGCACCCTGCGAGCCTCTCCCTTATCCGTCCTTGTGACAGTGGTGGGAGAAGACAGCGTGAACAGGAGCATTGCTGCCGAGCCTGGGGGCTTTGGTGGCTAGAAATGCAGCCTTGCCCTCGCTGTCTTTACGGGTGGTTTTGTGCTTTTCACACAGGCCTTCTTTGAGAGCCACCCGGCTCCGTCGGCCGAGCGCACGGTGCAGCAGTGCTGCGAAAACATCCTGCTGAACGCGGCGTGGCTCAAGCGGGACGCCGAGAACATCCACCAGTACCTGGTGCAGCGCCGGGCCCCGGCGGCCACCGTGTGAAGCTGCGCGCGCCGCCGCCGCCGTCCTGCTGCCTCGGCACGGCCCAGGGAGGAGCTACCCACAGCTGATTCATATGCCAAGAATTTGGAGTCTTTTTCTCAAAGCAACGGGGATTGGACGATGAATGTAGTTAACTGGTTCCTGCTCACACTCCAGATTTAAATTCTATTAAAATTATCAGCAATTCAGCAAAAAAAAAGTAAAAAATCTGTAAATATGATAGTAATAAAATAGAGCATAACAAAACTGTGAAACTTCCTCAAGCCTTGTCAGTGGTTAAAATATTTAACACCTACCCCCAACACACCCCGACACTCTTATTGACAGATGTTCTGTTTTTTACAGTCCCCCTCCCTGCAAAAAATAAAAATAATAAATAAAGACAACCAGGTTTCCAGGTCAGAGGAATTTTTGTGGAGAGTCTGAGGCAGGAATGGTTAATTCTGCTGGGAGCATTATGTGAACAGTTCACTGGGACAGGCAGGTAGCTCATATGAGATAGTCTGTGCATAATTCCAAGCGCGAGGTCTTGGGGAGATGTTCCTGCAAGCCCCCCAACCCAAGGATCGTAGGTTCCCTCCCTTTTGTGTTACCTCTCAGCAAAAAGAAAAATGTTCTGTCGCTCTTCGGTTTTTCTCCTTGGTTCCATTTGCTGATGTCCTTCTTAGAGATAACGGAATTGTAAGGAAACATCTTTCACAGCCACATTAAATAAGAGAACGATTCATGCAATATAATTTTTTCTTACTAAATTGCACCCTCGAAATGCATGCGAACGAGGAGATGAGGGCTGCGTGACTGGTTCTCCTGCCTGCCCGTGGGCAGGCTCCTCTAGTCCCGGCACTGTTACTTGTCCAAAAGATCCAGCTTCTTCAGTCTCCTCACGGCTGTAGCAACACTAGCTTTTCATTCCCTTCGTGATGTTGATGGTAATTTGATTCAGAAGCCTTAAATTAGTGATGACTGGTGTGATGATGAAGTCTAAGTTTTGTGCCATCATTTACTTCACAAAGCAGTGTGGTCTACTAACCAGACACAGCACCCTCTAATACAAAGGTTGGAGTTCCATATATATTTTTTTTTCTTTAACAGGAATTCGTATTTGGTGTGGCTTAACTGTATTTCAGAAGGTCATCAGACTAACTGTCAGACTGCTTCCCTGAAACATTTTTGTGCTATTGTTTAAAAAAAAATAATAAAAAATAAAACAGTTGGCGTTAATAAAAATGTCAATGTGAAACGGATGTCCTGAGCTCGTGTTCTGTTTGAAGGCAGGAGCAGCAGGGCTGCGTTCAGGGGCACAGAGCTGGTCCCAGGCCAGCGAGGTCCTGAACAGCCCCAGAGCCTCCCTTGTCCTCGGCCTTTCCCTCCTGTGAAGGCTGCAGGTTGGGGCAGAACCCTATGGAGAGAAGAAAGGAAAGGACAAAACAAGCACGTTAGTAAACTACTATTAAAGAACCCCTTAAAACGTTGAGGGCGCCGATGTGCAGCAGCGGCTGTGCTAAAAGGCACGAGAATCACCCCAGAATGGGCAGCTTCACCATGAGGGAAGATGGGGTGTTCCTGAGCGGGCGCATGGGCAGCATCCCTGGGGAGCACTGGGAATTGGTCATCCTGGGCGTATCTGCTGCGTTTCCGGGAGTTTTTTCCAGCCGTCAGCACCGCGGAGCCAGTGGAAGCTGTTTTGTCCTCTGCTGCTTGACCGAGGGCGAAGCGGGAATGCCAGCGTGAGTGCTGCTGTGCGCACTGCGAGCAACCGGAGCTGGGAGCGCAGGCRGCCTGGTTTGGACTTGAAACAATGCAAGTGCCTTGCGAGGGGTTGGAAAAGGGGTAGAAACGATGCRTTTGTGGTGAGCGAGCAAGCTGAACGGTTTCAGCAAACTGAACGGTTTCAGCAAAGTGAGCAGTGCCATATCTTCCGTGCGCAGAGACAAGCAGATCGTAGTTCTTGGTGAAAGAAGGCTTGGGATGCGTCCACGTAATGTGGAACTGTTCCAGCAGCGAGCGCGCACACGGTCGGGTTGCGGCGGGGCCGGGAGCGGTGCTGAGCGCCGCCCGTGGAGCCCCCCAGCCTCCCGTGAGCCGGTCCCCGGGCCGCCGTGTGCCCCGAGCGGGCTCCGCGGCCCCGTGCAGCCCTGCGCGGGCTCCACGCGGGCCCGCCCGGGCACTGTGGGCTCCCTGGGGGCCTCCGTCGAGCGCACAGGGGCCCAGGGGGGCTCTGAGGGCCCGTGGAGCCACCCGGGCCTAGACGGAGGCGGTCGAGCCCGCCCAGGCTCCGACGGGGGCACGAGCAGGGCACAGAGGGCCCCCCAGGAATGTGGGGGCCCACAAGGCCCGTTCAGGCCCGTAGGAAACGCTCCGGGCTCCACACGGAACTGGGGACCCCCCGCAAGGAGGAGATCGCGCCGCGCCCCCCCCAACATGGCGGCCTGCGGCGGCTCCGTCCCCACCGCCCCAGAGGGAGCCCCGCCCCCTCCGGGAGCCCCGCCCCCTCCGGGAGCCCCGCCCCCTCCGGGAGCCCCGCCCCCTCTGGGAGCCCCGCCCCCTCTGGGAGCCCCGCCCCCTCCGGGAGCCCCGCCCCCCCGGGAGCCCCGCCCCCCGTCGCCGCGCGATGACGTCAGGCGGCGCGCCGGGCGGCTGTGGCGGCCGCCATGCACCGGCGGGGCGTGGGCGCGGGCGCCATCGCCAAGAAGAAGCTCGCGGAGGTGCCGGGGGGGCTCCCGGGGGGGGGGGCGGTGCCATTGGGGCCGCGGGGGCTCCCGCGCCCGTGTCGGGGGGGCCTTTCGCCCCGCCCGTTTGGAGCGGGGGGTGTCGGGGGGGGTCCCCTCGGCCCCGTGGTGCGGGGTTGGGGGGGGGGCGGTCCCGGTGCCCCCCCCCGCCGCCTCACGCCTCCGTTTCCTCCCGCAGGCCAAGTACAAGGAGCGGGGCACGGTGCTGGCCGAGGACCAGCTGGCCCAGGTGGGAGCTGCGCCCCCGCGCCCAGGGCGCGTCCCCCCCCATGGGCACCCGCGGATGCGTCCGGAAAAGGGGCGGCCGTGTTGGAACGGGCAGTCCGGGAGCTCCCCCCCCTTCCATCCCCCTTCCTCCGGGGCAGCAGGCCGGGGACCCCCGCGCTGCTCGAGGCCTCTGCCCCGTTCCTGGGGAGGACGGTGGTGCTTGGGGTGCCTAGGGGGTATAAGCGTGCAGGGAGGGGCCGCGCAGAAACGCCCCTCTGCAATTGTGTCTTTCAGATGTCTAAGCAGCTGGATATGTTTAAGACCAACTTGGAGGAGTTTGCCAGCAAACACAAACAGGAGATCCGGAAGAATCCCCAGTTCCGGGTGCAGTTCCAGGATATGTGTGCGACAATAGGAGTGGATCCTTTGGCATGTGAGAAACGGGCAGCAGGGGCTTGACGAGCTGAGGGTTCCTCTCCCTGCTGTGATCCAGGGAACTTTGGGAATTTGATGCAGGTTGTCCTTGAGAAAAGCCGATGGCGTTTGGATTGGGGCGGGGTTGTCCTCTGAACCGGACTTCTGGTTCTGTGTGTTTCAGGTCTAAGTGTGACGCAGTCAACGATTCCCTGATCCCCCTGTCGTGCTCCTTCCCAAGGTTACAGAGCGTGCAGCTCCACAAGGAGCAGGTTAAGGGAGGATAACTTTGCCAGTGGTTTAATCCCTTTTCCCTTTTCCAGCTGGTAAAGGCTTCTGGTCCGAGATGCTGGGAGTTGGYGACTTCTACTACGAGCTGGGTGTGCAGATTATTGAAGTTTGTCTGGCTCTGAAGCACAGGAATGGAGGTGAGGATGCCGCTGCCGGTGGCTTCAGGTGTTGCAGAGCATGGAGAACACCKTTTCCCTCTGGAAAACGAGTCACCTCGCTCAATGGTGTGGGCTTTATTTAGAAAATGTGGAGATTACATTTTTGTCTTCATTGCCCCTGAAAAGGCTTCCTGTTTTTATAACACGTAAAGGTTACTGGTAATGACCTGCATTGATTGGTTTCTGCAGAAATCCAGCAACTCTGCCCTGTTTAGGTGATGAAACTGCAATTCTCCTTACCTTGAGGAAATGGTAGTGATAAATGACAATCTTGAAGGCGTAAGGAATGAGTCAGTGCTTTGAGCCTAGCAGTAAGATTATCTTTAAAGGAGTACAACAGTATCCAGAAGAATCAAAATAGTAGTTAGTGCCTGAAAAAGTGGATGCTCTTTGCTTCAGAAGGCAGCCCAAGAGCAAGAACAGGCTCCATCAGAACAAGCTGAAACTTGGGCATGAGACATTTGTGGGGGGAGGCACAGCTAGTTCCACAGAGAGAAATTAGGAGACACRTCCCCAAGCCTTGAAGTGGGGAGCAAAACAAGGCCACTTAAAAATGTTAAGGCAGAGCTGAGCCAGCAGCAAACAGCTGCCAGCAGCAGACTTGATGACTCCTTTCTTTCTGCATACAGAATCATTTTCTGTCCCCTTTTGTTGGCCCTTAGGCCTGATAACGCTGGAAGAACTTCACCAACAAGTGCTGAAGGGAAGRGGAAAGTTTGCTCAAGATGTCAGCCAGTGAGTATCTGTTTTACAGGAAAGGGGAGCTGAGTAGCACTTGGGGAAGAATGGGGGAAAGTTAACAGTAGCTTCAAGTGCTGCTGTGATTAACTGGATTCCAAATTGGRTTTCTAACAAAAGACCCATTTGCTTGCACGTGATCCACAATTAACGACTTCTAGTTCCTGAACTGAATGGTTAAGTAAGAGTACACTTGGACTAATTCTAAATTGCCTTATTAAAAAAAAAAAAAAAAAAAAGAGGCTCTTACTTTAAAGCCTTGCTTTGACCTCTGCTCCTCAGGGACGATCTCCTTCGTGCAATCAAGAAGCTGAAGGTGCTGGGGAATGGCTTTGGGATTATTCCTGTTGGTGGAACATATCTGATCCAGTCTGTACCAGCAGAACTGAACATGGATCACACAGTCATCTTGCAGTTGGCAGAGGTATTGAGTCCGGAGCTTTCAAGTACAACCACCATGAAAGAATCTTACTGTTCTCATGACAGGGAGCAGTGTAGAGAGCCCAAAATCCAGAATGAACATGAATGTAGAGTTTGATCCGGGAGTAGATCAGGCTTGTGTGCGTGACTCTTCACCCTTTTCTGAAGCACAGCTTTAAGTCTTGACTCTTATTTTTCATCTCATTTCAGAAAAAGGGGTATGTAACAGTCGGTGAGATCAAATCCAGTCTGAAGTGGGAGACAGAACGAGCGAAGCAGGTGCTGGTAGGTATGATGGTCCCTTATGCATTGCGAGCTTAAACGGCAGCGTAGAGGGGCTGCTCCTGCAGCTTTAGGATAAGTTGAAGAAGCCAAAAATTTGGGTACAAACAAACTTTGCAGCTGCCATTGACACTGGGCAGTTAGCAGATTAACTGTAAAAAGCTTGAATCTTGTTAGTTCAGGACATACTGCTCTGAGCGGGTGGGTGTCATCAGGTGCCTGAATTCTATTCCTCAAGCTCAGGATGGGCAACAATTWTTTTTGTCCAAGTTCTACAACGTTTCCTTATTCCTGGGATAAATATGAGATCAGGCCTTTATGAACTAACAGGCTGGGAAGCCGCTGACAGGTTTTGCTCACGGTTTCCACTCTGCCCAGGAACACTTGCTGAAGGAAGGAATGGCCTGGCTGGATACGCAAGCAGCAGGAGACCCTCAGTACTGGCTGCCCGCTCTCTTCACAGAGCTCTACTCTCAGGAAATCACTCCAGAGGAAGCCAAGGAGGCAATCCCTTGACTGTTCTGTGCCTGTACATAACTCTTCTTCTGAGGCTATATGCATATCACCTGAAACACAGGGACAGTGGACTTTAAATAAAGTTTTCTAAAAAGTGTCTAGCTTGACGAGGTTAACAGGACTAATTCATACTTTATTACTTTGAATTGCTGTAGGTGGCAATACCTCCTGTGGTTACAGACATTAATTATCTTGTCACAGCAAGAAGAAAATTATCTAGGCTGCAGTTTCAAGTGCAGTCTTGAAGGATGCACATGGGACTGTGAAGAATCTCTGAGCCAGCAGTGACACTTCCAGAGCAGCTGAGAAACCGTTTTGGAGTCAGTCCTCTTTGTGAGTGAGTCGTCCCACTAAGTACCACTACAGTCTATGTTCTGCCAAAACAAACTTTATTGCACAAAAAAAAAAAAAAAATCTTATGTACAATAGTATATAAACAAGGTATCTTAGAGTGACTCTTGTGCATATATTTTCAACTCGATTAGGTCTAAAAATCTGTTGCTAAAACATCTCTGCCTAGAGCAGTCATTTGAGGATTGTCACTTTGAAATGGAAACATTCAGAAATGGTAGGACAGACAACATTAGAGCTATAAAACTAATACTTCTTTTACAGCCACATGCTAGTTAGGTGAAGAGTGTCTACAATAAGGCATTTTCTTGTTTCCTTGTATGGGTGGATGGTAGCGCCACATGCATCACAAACAGTTCAGAACCAGCTCTGCCCTGCGAAGGCAGCAGTCACAGCTCTACCCACAATGCTACTGAATGGTGAAAAACAACTGACATCTACAATGGGATTAAAGAGGCGTCAAGGTAGCACACAGCTCATGACTTCTCAGAGGAGACCCCACTGCCTCCCTGAGACCTTATTTCAAGGTGAACAGAGTTTTATTTACTCTTATCTGGTGTATGTGTTGAGCAAGTCCTATATAAGTTTAGCTTTCCCTCCAGGAAAGACAGGGTTTAAGTCTAAATCGTAGCAATGACAGACCCAGGGGAGTTTGCTTGCTCAAGGGGAAAAGGCTCCCGAGTTGTTAGATGGCACCTTCCTAGTTCAGAGTCCTTCCTAGTTCCATCTTCCCGAGCTGCTCCCGCAGCCACATGCAGGCTTCTGAGCTCTGCAGGAGCTGACGCTCCAAGCGCAGAGACTGCAGGTAATGCAGAGACACTGCCCTTGTACGTGACACCACAGGGGTCTTGGCCCCTCACTATGCACCTTCCTAAAGACAACGGGGTTGGAAGTTCCCTCAGCACCACCAGGACTCCGCAGTGGGGCTGAGCACGTGGAATAAGGGAAGTGGGAGAGGGCCTGAGACAACGTGCAACTCTGTGCTTAGCTTTCTAGCAAAGCTCCTGTAACAAAAAATAGATTAAGTTCTTCATCAACAAAACATTTGACTGCCCCAAACAACCATCACCAGGCTTATTTACCTGGAGGAGGGGAAAAAAAAAAACAAACAAAAAAGGGAGGTATTTCACCTAATTTGCACTGAATACATCTTTGATGTAATGGCACTCGTAGCCAGCAGACACCTCAGCAAGAGGTTTGTCTCCGCTCACAGTAAAAAGCCACTGTTTGAAACATCAAAGTGTTAGACCTTGGACACACAGCTAGCTTGCACTCGGCCAAGTTTGGCAAAGGAATTTTCAGTCAGTAACGAGGCATAAACCTCTGGAAAACTCCACCCCAAAACGGTTGTTTCCTTGGCTAGAAATGCCCCTTATTCTAGCATTTCAGTGTGATGGGTCTGAGTTAACAGTTCAGAGTTAACAGTTGAGAGAGAGGGGGCAGGAAGAAGAGGAGAGAAAAATAAAATATTAGGCTAACTAGAGGGGTGAAAAGCAAAGAATACTTCAGTTAAAGAAACAGAACAGCTCCCTTCAGAGCAGCCAAATAAAACACTAATTTTAAATCAACACTTAAAAATTACACAAACTAGACTTATTTTTAAGTGCTCCCCATCTCTGGACCAATGATTTTTCTCCCCCTCTATCCCCYCAAATGCCAGAGTGAACACACCTGCACTCCATTTACGAATTCCTGCAGCTTCCACTTTTCATTCTCCCCTTGGCTCCTGGAGTCCCAGTGGACCAAGTCATCCAGGGCGGGAATAAAGCTTTTGGAAAGGAGCTCAGATTCCACCACTGCTCTTTATCTTTGGTCTGTCTAGAACAGTGTCTAGAAGAAAGACATCAGGTAGGTGGCTCCCACGGAGCAGAGGGTCTCYGTCCTCGCAGCCTGCACAAGAAGGTTTCACCCAGGCCACGCGGTGCATGGGCCCTATCCTAGCCTGGACTCATCAAAGCTCTCCCCAGGCTACAGCTCCATGCTCAGCACGGCCCCAGGAAAGGGCTCACTGTCCAGGAACAGAAAAGCTGTAAAGAGGAGTCACGGTCTCGATCTCATAGTTTAATCAAAAAAACAAAAAAAAAGAAAAAAAAAAAAAAACAGTGTAGGTGTTTCCAAAAAATAACCTGATGCCACATGCTCCAGCGTTCTAGCAGAGTAAGTACCTTTTAATAGTAGCCTGTCACACGCTTGGCTTTGTCTAGAATGACGTCTTCTCGTTCGGCATTATCCACCGGAGCAGTAAAGGGAGACAGGAGATTCCCGCAGTTTGCTCCGCTCCGGCCCGCCGGGCTCTCGAGTGCGTCGGGGGCAGCAGAGCCGGCGCACACGGAGCATCCCCGCGCCCCGGCCTYGCCGCCGCTGCCCCGGCTCTAGGCTCGGGAACAGCCCTGCGCGTCTGTCTCTGTCTCCGAGGAGCTGCTCTCAGAGTCTATTTCTGTGTTCTCCTGCTGGTGTTTCTCTTGCACCTTCTGACGAATGCCTTGCAAACGGGTTAACAGGGATTGATAGTCAAAGTGGCCTCGTTTCTCGCCAAAAGGATCCTGGAAGGAAAGTGGGGATAAATCTGTTAATAAAGAGCATGACTCTTCTACAGTGAAACGTCACATCGAACTAGGCTCAGCGTGTAAAATATTTACCAAGACAAGCGACAGAAAGAAGAAAGCTGCACAGTAATTGGGAAAAGAACGGTCAAAGACTTTAGGGTTAAATCCCAGCTAGTAACCAAGAGGTCCCTGAGCTTTTCAGTGTCAAAGCAGAGGTTGGAGATAACAGATTTTTCTTTTCTGTGTGGGATCTCTTTGGGGAAGTCTTACACACCCGAGCAAACTTCACAGAGGGCTGAAGGGTCRGGCAGACACAGGTTGTGTTTCTACTAGCAGCTCTGAGGAAGAAAGCTGTTTCAAAGATGTGAGCTCAAGACTCGCAGGAAGGTGGTAAATAAAACATATGACAAACAAAAGCCTCTATAACCAGAGGGCAAAGATTTCCCCACACTTTAAAGGCAAGAAGTATTTGGACATTTAACACTCGTTCCTTTCAAGGCAACTCCAAGCTGAAGCCACCCTGCCAGGGCTATATGAAGCAGAGGGACTTTGCRCTGTCCCATCTGACAGTGCAGGTGTAGGTGTTGGCCTGTACTGATCTCTAGCACAAGCCAACATGTGGCTCCAGAATTAACAGGAGCGCACACGTGACAAGTGCTCAACTCACACTGACCCTGCAGTGGCTTCATTTTAAACACAGGGCACCAAAGGCAGCAATGGCATCTCCCCAGTGCCCTGGCTGATGTCCTCCTACGCCAGCGCTCATGAACGAGCAGGAAATGGAGCAGAGCAGTCACTCCTCTGGAAACGGAGCGCAAGGCAGCGCCGACCCAGCGCTCGTCACAGACTCCTGGGGAGAGCAGCCAAGCCCTGGCTCCGTGCAGGAGAAACAAGAGGCCGGGCCCCACAACCTTCCAGCGCCCTCAAACCTCCCTGCACGGCCCAGCACCCTCTACAGATACAAGTCAGGCACTGATCCGCCTCGGGGGAATTTCTCATTTCAAACAGGAGCTCTCCTGCCTTGGGAATGCTTTCATTTTATAAATTAGACAGCCTGTGGCAGCACTGACAGAAAAAAAGGGCTTAACTATAGATCATTAATTCAACTGCTTCCATCTTTTCCTAGCAGTAAAAATTTCTCAATGAGTCAGACAAGAGGCAGCTGATTAGGAAGGAAGACACGTCCGTTCATATGCAAACAGCTTGACACTCTGCTCTAGRAAGTGTACTCTCTTACAGAAACGAGGCTCCTGTATTCAACATGTCTGGATGCATCTTCCAGATTATCTCTGTTCCTCCATCCCTGTCTCCTCTAGAAACTCTCGGTTCAGTCAGCCACTTTCAACACGGCCAGGGAAGTCAGAGAGAGGAGCTCCCAYCTGCTGCATGAGCAAAGGAACCTCAGAAGGAAAAAACCCTCCTTGGATCCCAATAGGAAAGCAGACCTTTATGAAGGGCACAGCACAGCTGTCCCTCACAAAGCCATCCAACCTCATACCCCTCACTAAGGCAGTGTGTGATCCACAGGAAGCTGCTCTGCCACCCACCTGCATCGTCTGTCCTTGCAGATACAGCCTTTCTTTGCACACCCCTTCATAGAAGTCATAGTATTCCATGAAGGACTTCTCCATTACTCCCCTGAAGGCAACGAGAGGACACACGGTGAGCACAGGACGGCAAGAACGGGGCTCTCATCCCAACTCAACCCCAGCTGAGCGCTTCAACGAGCTACAGCRTCACTGCAGCTGAGCAGATCCTGCATGTGCTTGTGCAGCAGCTGCCATCTCCCTCCCACCCCAAGATTTGCTTTTTTGCCAKGAGACAAGGGACATTTATTCTCAAATGCTAATCAGAGGATGCGGCCATTGTGCATATTAGCACAGCCTTTGTCAGTACACACAAATGCAAACACCCCAAACAAGTATTCTTTGCTGCATCTGGGAGCACTAAAGGCTTGCTCTTCCCTAAACTCCCAAAATATCCAAAAGGACAGTCAGAAAAGTCATTCCCCCATTCACTTCCCCCATTTGCTTATGTTCCCTCCTCAGCTCCTTTCCATACCGTAACGGCTCAGGACAGGGACACTTTCCTTCYAGCATGTCACACACTGCTACTCGGATGGTCTCATGCCGAATGCACTCATTATAGTTCTTGCTGTCCCCAGGATGCCTTTCCTGGAAACAGAATTTGGGTCAGTGAGTCTGTGCTACCACGAGAAGGAAACTGCGGAGAGAAGAGACAAATATCTGCAGAACTGGAGATGATCCAACCCAAACACCCACCTGCTCAAAGCCGGGTTCATTGTGATACGGGTTCTCAGTCATGAGAGACTGGATGGAAATAAGGACTGAAGAGATGCTCTGTGCTGGGCTCCATGCAGGCCCGGTCCAAGTACTGAGGCATCAAAAGAGAAAAAAAATAAAACCATTAATTAAAAACAGAGGACAAGTCCAGTGACTACCRCCCCTCCAACTGGCAAAAGAGGAGAACGCTTGGGAACCCCCAAGGAGACATCTGTACCTTACAGAAACACAACAAGAAATGAAACAGCTGGTACAGATATRCAAGGCTTGGGACACTGGAAAGGCTTTAAGGGTGCAGAAGCCAGAGCCTGGTGCTTTACTCCACTGCCAGCACACATGGGGCCTCACACACGGAAGAGCTGGGGAAAAGCAGCACTTCCAAACTTCTTACAGGGCACATTAAAGCTTGGGCTGTCATCCTGCACAGCACCAACACAAACTCCCAACGCTGCACCTCAAAACCAGCGGCTCTTAAGGACTGAAATCTGAATCTCAAGGCTCAAACAGGACCATCCCTTGGGCAGCTGGCCAGCTCTCAGCACAAGCATTAATGTGAGCAATCCTAATGGGTGCTCTGCTAGATGAGCAAGGCACTGGACAGCACAAACCTTTGCCCAGCATGGTGCGAYTGGGAGAAGCTGCTCCGCTGCCCTTCCTAGCTCGCCACACAGACCTGCCTCCCTGCGAGCTGAACAAACGCAGCGACCCACCTGTGCTGCTCCCTGGCCTCTCCTCCCCAGCTGCCCCGTGTTTCCCACCTCTGCTAAGGCCGGGGCCCTCAGGTCCCTTCAGCCATTCAGCTTTTGGGCAGGCTGCCCCTCACGGCTGGCGTGGAGCCTGGGGGGCATTCGGAGCCCCAGCTGGGACGTGCCTACGGGTCTCGGTGCTTTGCAGGGGGTGGCATCCACCTCTCTGGACCAAGCAGATGCATAAGCTGGAGGGAGACGTTTCCCATCCAAACTGCATCCCTCCTGCCCAGCCTCAGGCCAGATCCTGGACAGGTAGCAGCTCCTTGCACCAGCTTTGGTGCAAGTAACACGTGCACAGCACTGCTGAAACCAGGCTGGCAAAGGCAGCCTTTTAAYCCTATCAGACCAGACTCCTCACGAGACCCAACTGAAGCCCTAGAGTAATTTGAGTCATTCCTGCCCCTTCCTCACCCAGCTGCCCCTTACTAGCACTATGCAACAGAAGAGAATTCGTACAAACACCTCAGCTGCAACAAACTGGGTAAAAATCTTCCTTTTTGGCAAGTGAACTACCACAGCTGGAGCTGGGAACATCCCACCATGTCCAGGGTTCCTCTACTAGAGCCCTAAGAGCCACTGAATCAACCAGGACTTTCGTAGGATCGTAACAGTTGGAAAAGACCTTCAGGCTCATCGAGTCCAACTGTAAATGCTCAAAAGCCAAGCACGTGAGTTAACAAGGATTTCCAGCAGTGSAGCCTGTTTCAACAGGCAACATGGGAGTGATGCCTTGTTAATCATTACACCCACCTCAGCCCCACATACTACGTGTAGGTGGAAGCCCAGAGCAGTCAAATGGCTCTCAAGGAAGTTCTTGGTGGCTTTTAATTTTATTTATTTATTTTTAAACCCACACAGAGAAAGGAAATTAAAACCACAGAAACCTATATTCAAACAACATTAAGGATTGGGCTGCAAAGCACAGAAGCGAAAGAAACGCAGTGCTTGGGCCAAGTCTTTGCAGAGGGAAACAGGAGGAAAGCGACAGCATCCACTGAACTTCCTGCTTCCCCTGCTCCATTCTGAGGTGCTTTGAAGGACAAGCCAGGCTTATTTCATTAGAGAAGATGTTTTGCTGCTTTAAGGCTCCAATTCTGCACATCACTGGACAGAAGCATAAAGTCGCATCCAAGCCAATGTGTGGGGCAAGAGCAGGGCACAATGCACCGAGAAGGATGCGTGAGGCAGAGCAGCCTGCAGCCACCTCCTGGTTTCCCCTGAAAACAGCCAAAGTCTCCTCTTACCCTAGAATACTCAGGCAGACTTTCCCATTGCGGTAGAAGTTGGGGTTAAACCTCACTGTGTTATTTCCCGTTGTCATCAGTTTGACCCTTGGTGGGTGGATGGGATAATCTGGAGGACAGCGAAACAGGAACAAGAAGAAACCCCCTTCATAAGGCGTGTCAAATGGGCCTGTGATCAATGCATGAATCTGGAAAACAAAAGCCCGTCTTGCGCACCACTCCAAAACTGTGCAGCACCGTCACATCCTCCGGCAGGGCGGCTCCCGCCGGGACGCGGCACCTTCGGGAGCGCGGGCCCCGCGGCGCCCTCCCTCCGTCCCGCTGCGCCCCGCACGTCCCCCCTCTGCCACGCTCGGGGTGCGGGGCTTGGCCGGGGCCCCCAGGGCTGCCCCCATCCACGCAGCCCTACGCAGCCCCGAGCGGGCGGAATCGCGGTGAGCTAGGGAGCTCTGCGTCAGAACAACACGGAGAGAAAAGTAAAATTTCAAATTAAAAAAAACCCTAATTTTAGAAAAAAAGAAAATATCAGAATTTCTGCCAGAACTAGAACATTCCTCACTTTTTATGRTCTTGTGCTGATTTGGCTTTATTGAAACCAATCACTCAATATCCTCTGCCAGGATCTGAAATTAAGAACCTATTCTCTCCACACTAATTACCCTAAAGATCTCGACTGCGTACCAGGAAATCTGCTCCCCTCGGGCTCTCCAGGCAGCCTCCTCCTCTTGCATCCTCCTGACGGCACCCAAGCAGTCTCCTTTAATGTCCTCTTACCTACCTCAGACTTTAGTTACGAGCCCCAAGGCTGGTGTTTTACAAACCCACATTTTCCTTGAGGGGCATTTTCGCACTGGCAGCTCCCAGCGCGAGGGGAAGCCGGAGCTAAAGGCTCCGGGCGGGAGCTGCCTGCGCAGAGCCAGGCCCTTTGTGCCATCTCCAAAGCCCGGAGGCCCTGGGCCGGGCAGGCGCTTACGCTGGTGGAGTCTGGAGGATGCCAAGTCTACGGGGAAGGTCCAGTATGCAGCAGAGGAGAAGCCCAAGCAACCCCGCAAGACACACCTTATTTCCCAGGGAACAAGCGCGGCCAGAGTAGGTGACACTAGCTGGAGAGAGGGCAGCACCAGGGAGACCAAGGAACACATTGGAGCAGGAACATTTGAGCAGCCTCCGTTTGCGTTCGCTCTCCCAAACATGAATGGAAGTTCCCGGTTCTGGAAAACCCCAAGGCAGGCAGCCAGGAGCGGAAGGAGCGGGGCAGGAGCGGCCACAGCCCTTTGGATCCCCAGGGAGCAGCTCTGCTCGAGGCCACGTGCTGGGAGTGGCTGCCCAGACCTGTGCATGACCCGGGAGCCAGGGAGAGCCAGCAGCTCYAGGACAGACGTCCCAGCACCGCTTCATCCCTGGCTTCCCGAGACATTCCAGCTCTTCTGACAGCTCCCACAGGCAGCAGCTGCCCGGAGCTGGCTCCTTCTCAAGCTGCTCTGTTCCTCAGGTTCATGTGAAATGCTCTCATCGAGTTTCAAGCATCAGGATAAATCGAGACGGAGCAGCGCTCCATTGGCTCACAGGGTCACTGAGGAAGTGCTGGGTTTAACTGTGGAAGCTGCTCAGATCCCTGTGATATGTCTCCACGGAGCCAATTTCCTTAAGAGTCTCCTCCCATTTTAAACACAGCCCATCTCAGTGTAACCCAGAAAACCGGAGCCGGATTGGTTTAAGATTTACCCTGACTCCATTCAAAACACGGGAATAGGCCATTCGGGCAAACCCTTCAAGCAGCTCCCAACAGCAAAGCACCGAGAAACAGAAAGTTGAATCTGCTCCAGATCTTCCCTTACCTTGGTCATGTCATGGGGATCAGGCACAACAAACATTCCCGGGGGTGGTTCCTTATAAATGGACATGATATCCCTGAACAAAGGAAACAGGAATTAGTCAAGATCTCCCCTGGCGTTCATCAGCCCTCTAAGCACAGAACACAGACCGTTCTAGGCAACAAATCTGTGCACATACACAAAGGGACAGATTTTTAAGATGGAAACTCTCGACTGAGAGAGTTGCATTTTTTTCTTTTCCCTTTGTCTCCCTGTTTTCTYACTGAGCTCTTCCAGCTCCTCCTAAACAATAGCCGAGGCACTGAAGAGCACAAGCGTTCAGTGAATCTGTAAGTGAATCACACCAAGTGAAACTTGATAACCCAGTCTTGTGTTTTACGGCACATCAGCTTCAGCATTGGAGACTTCAGCCACCACTTCCATAGGTGAGCACTTGGAAGTTCTCTTAGGTGAATCCTCCGGTGCCTAATGGACAATTTTCCCTTCCCAAGGAAAGCAGCTGTTTTCCCTCTCCACTCTCTGAGTATTTAAAGAATCTCTTGTACRTGGACATTTGTTTTCACCAAAATGTCTTAACTTTAAGAACTTTGTCACTTGGTCGAGTTTGGTTCTGATCAGGCCTCGGGTTCTAGAGCTACCAGGATGCATCAACAGATGCATGAAACCTCCCCTCAAAGGCCTCATTTCCTGAGGACCTCAGCCTCAAAGACGGGAAAAACACAGACCGACCTGCAGCTCCGTGCAGATCCGGCCACCAAAACACCCCTTGCCCTCCCGCGGGCTGCACGGAGCTCCTGGACGAGCAGCCGCGCGGTCCTTCCCGGGACGGAGCAGGAGCGCGGAGGTTCCCGCGTGCGCAGGGAGCCCCCACCTCCTGCGGGACGTCTCCGAGCGGGAGCTGCTCGGATGGGAACAACCCACAGAGCCGGGACCACCGGATGGGAACAACCCACAGAGCCGGGACCACCTTGGAGGACACGAGGGCTGGGGCGGGCGGCCGCGCGGGCCCCGGCCCCCGGCGAGGCCCGAGCAGCCGGAACCCCCTGGACGCGGCCGGTGGCTCCAGCAGCTGCCGGTAACGGGGAGTCACCGGGTAGTGGGAGTCACCCAGTGTAACAGGGGGGTCACCCGCTGTAACGGGGGGCCGCCTGSTAATGGGGGCAACTCAGTAACGGGGGTCACCCGGTGTAATGGGGGTCACCCGGTGTAACGGGCCCGGCCGCCGGAGCTGGCGCAGGGCAGGAGGAGGACGAGGAGGACGAGGAGGGCGAGGAGGAGGGCACAACGGGCAGGTCGGTTCTTCCCAAACCTCCACCGCCCGAGCCGCCCCTCGCTCGGGGGCCTCTCCCGCGGCCACGAGGCGGCCCGGCGGGCGGGCGGCGGCGGGCCCGCGG